CACTAATCCAGTTCTCTCAGCAGACAGTATGAACAAATCAAGTAAATATTTCTGAAATGCTGCATGTCAGTGACGGGCGCAATGAAACTTCTCTTCCAGCAGAAAACCGTTCGTTAATTAACACAGAGAGGGATTACACAGCAAAACAGGGATTATTTTAGAATAAAATAATACTGTTGACCTGGAAATCATTGGAGTGTTTCACAGTTATATTAAAATGATGCCTGTAAGAAAATAATATTGAAATATTAATAAAATGTGAATTCTTACGTCCTTACGTAGGGAACGTTTGGTCCAGCATTATATCCAGCTGTGGTGAAAAAAATAAAATAGTTTTGAATTTACACACAAGTATATTAATGATTGGGTCTGTACCAGGATTTTAAATAATTTAAACTTAACTTTGCATTTCAAACTGGTACAAAGATTATGCCAAAGCAGAAAAAAATGCGTTAAGTACAAAATACACATTGAAACCTCAAACTATATAACAAATACATAAATCTAGTTTCATTTAGAAAGTGTGAACTTTTTCTCTAAGCATAAATGTAACAGGAATCCATCAGTTTCATTTCCTCTTTAATAATAATTATGCAGTATGAAAGTGAATTATTCAACTACACTTTATTTTTAAAAAATCAAATAATGATAATAAACTAAAAACAGATTTTGTTTGCTGGAGTTATTTGTGATAAATATAGAAGAGTAGGACCAGATGTTTATTCAGGCTCAGCAAATAGGCTCTGAACATCCCCTTTATGCTCCATTAGGATTAAATACTGACTTAATTGGAAGGTAATTCAATAAGACTGTTTTCTTTCCACTCTCATGCAGTGTTGCTATATTAGCAAATGCAAAAGGCTAAAGTGGCAAGCACATGTAAAACTAGGGATAGCGAGAAAGAGGCTGCTGCACCAAATAGCAAGAAAAGGTGGAATGTAGTCAAAAAACAGCAGAGCTCAATATTTTTGTAATACTTTGATTTGCAAGAAATGAATGGAGACATCAAACATAGATGTCAGAGGTCTTAAGTGGTGGCATCAGGTGTTGAGTCTTTGATTTATCTGGCAGTTTCTGGAGAATCACAATGATCAAAACTCAGTGAAGTCGTGTTTTTACTGGATGTGAACATTTTGTAGCACTTTAAACCTAATAACACTTTTAACATGAAGAGCACATCATGTGAAGCACAGCTTGTGTCAGTAAATGCTTCAATATTTGATAGCAAAGGAAATGCATTAACTGAAAACCAGCTTCATCACACAAGATCCTGGTGGCTCTTTCTCTTGAAGGTGGGAACTTGGTGACTGCTGTGATTTTGGGATGAACTTCACCTAGTTGTTAGTATGACTGCATGCAATCAGAGAAAGACACAGTCATGTTTCACTTAGACAGAAGGACAATGTAGATGGCTAAATGCAGGGTATGCCATAAGTTTCCACACACAGGAGAATGTAAAATATATATTTCAGATAGACAAGAAGATGCGTAATTATACTGATGGCTGGACGGGGAAGCAGTCGCATGGTTGCACCAAACTTTAACAGAAAACATGGATCACACACATGACACTGTGGCAAAACTTATCTGCAAGTTTCAGAAAACTGGAAATGTTGCAGTTGAACCACAAAGTGGTCCAAGACGTACAGCGATTGCAGTCTCACTAAAATAAAAACGGTTCAATATGAAATGTTTGTTTTCTATGGATGGAAACTTCTGGCCCACCTTGTAGTTTAAGCAGATTTAAGTTTAAGTGATTTAAGGTTGATTGAAATATTATTCCAATATTTTAATACCATGCAGCTATGAGTTTAAGTGCATTTGAATTATGTGGTCAAATGTTAAATATTTGCTGAGTTCAAAAGAAAAAGAAAGAAGGGAAAATAGAAACTCAATGCATATGGAGTGCAGGCTCAGTTCTCTCCTTCCTTATCACAGCAGAAATGCACAGACTATTTGTTCCAACTGACATCTAATCGAACAGCTGCTGTTATCTGCTACAGCGCTTTTAGTTAAGCAATAAATCATTTCTGAGCTTGTTTATGTGCATTCGCCACGCTACACACAAACGGACACTTTTTCTTATCTGTAAAACGAGCATTTGTTTAAAGGTGGGAATATTTCTGAATATGAATGAGGAGCAACCCTTTGCTTCTGGTTCCTGAATATTTCAGATCCTATCACAGTTTTATACTTTCCAGCTTCAAGCGGAGATTAAAGTGGTGATGTTTACTTTCTTCTCTGACGTGCAGCAGCTTTTCAACATTAAAAATCTTGTATAAATTACTCATCAGCCCATCCTTAATGAATCATCACAAATAAATAATGTTTTCACTAATGTTGCCATAAAGCAGGAGGGTTAAGCTTTGCTCATATGCAAATATATATATTGTGCTGTCAGTTACAGAGGTAATATATCAAGTGTTTAATAGCCCTTCTCAATTAAATTGAACACCATGACTTCCTTTCTTTTCATTAAAATTAAACTGTTACAAAAACCAGCAGTTTCTGTGTCCAGGTGTTACGTCTGAGTAACATTGAACATGTAAGCAAAGATGCGAAAACCTCACATGCTCGGACGGAAACCAGTTGCATGCAGACTAAGCTGAGATTTCAGGAGTCATTCAGTCCACAGAACATGGAAATTCACAGTAATTCATCAACAATTGTATAAATGTGTTATTTTTTCACCACAGGCACTAAAAAGTACAAATCTTTTACATTCAAAATCTTACACAAAATGCATTTATGCTGCTAAACTGTTTTGGTTGTAATAGTAAATGAAGAGCAGTCCCGTAAATACAGTTTTCTGTGTGATTATCAGTGGCACTGAACAGACATCAGCAAACTGCATGAAATTAAAATGTTAAAAGCAACTTTTAAGCTGCCTCGTGTAATGTTTACAAAAAAATGTGTTGTACATATTTATTATGTCATAACAGGATGATATGAGAGATAATCAGTTAAAAGAATCTTCTCTGCCTTCTTCCAGTCCAAACTACAAAAATACACCATTCATTCTGGAGCAACCAATCAGAGCCAGGAGGAAGGTCTTAGCGCTGTCAGTCACTCTCACGCTCTTTATTAAACGTTTGCAGAATTAGAGAACTAATATCCAGAGAAACTCATCCATGCATTCATCTTCATTCGCATTGATTACTGCAGCAGCGTCTTCACAGGTCTGCCTAAAAAGTTGATCCAGAACGCTGCTGCTGGCGTTCTGACTAAAACCAGGAAGTTAGAGCACATCACCCAGTTCTGAAGTCCTTCCACTGAGAGAACAGGGTTTAAAATGCTGTTGGTAGTTTATAAATCACCACAAAACATTAAAGATCTGCTGCTGTATCACTTTCCAGACCCCTCAGGTCTTCTGGTTCTGCTCTGAATTCCCAGATCCAGAACCAAACATGGAGAAGCAGCATTCAGCTTCTATGCATCACTAATCTGGAACAAATTTCCAGAAAACTGCAAAACAGCCAAAACACCGAGTTTGTTTAAATCCATACTAAAACCAGCTGTTTACCTCATCATAAATGAAACAATGACCAAACATTGATGTGTAACGATGACGAAACATAATGTTTCAATTATTGATGCGTGTTCTGCGACATTGCTTTTGAATTATTTAAAGCACTTTGAACTGCCTTCTTGCTGAAATATCCTATATATATAAACTTGATCGATTGATTGATTGAATGATAGACTTCCAGTAATGCTGAGGCTAGTTAGCATAGCATGGTGACAGATAAACATTTTTTTTCTGTAACAGTGAGTTGTTTTTCCACAATATGCTCAACAATAGTAAGTTGAACCACATACTTGAGGATGATTGGCAGCATTAAGACCCTCCTCCTGTTTTTGCATGTCTTCCTCAGGGAGGAGGTCGAGGAGATCAATTTTTTCAGATTCTGTCTCAAACCTACTGCCATGACATGGCAGAGTTGTAATAATTATGGAAAAATCATGTATCTGTAAAAGTTACATACAGCAGTTTTAACAAAAAAAAACCCTTTAAATAAATCTTAATGTGAAAAAATATAATTTGGAGTTTGAAATTTATATTCTGAACATTTAATCTGATATTTTTACCTTCATTTTTTGTTCTCCAGACATGATGCAGCAACACTTGGTGACCTACAAACACAATGCTCACAAATGCAATCAGTATGTGCTTCAATCCATGTGAATAACAGCTAATTATCACCATTTAAACAAACCAACAGGGTCTGCAGAGACAATTACAGGCTGAAGGACTTTCAAACAAATGATGGCACTCAGGTAAAGCGAGAAGCAATGTTCAGGGAGGGCATGTTGACTAGTTTTACAAAGACGAGTCAAGTCAAGGTGACAGAAGCTACGTCTCAACACGAGAGATTTACCCAAAGGGGGAAACATGACCTGTAACCCAACTCAGATGGAAAAATGTGCTGAATTGAGCGACGTTGTTGTGCTGCTGCTATTTTCAAAGATCCCTGTTGAGACGGTGGTTTGTTTTTTGATCTCTGATGTGTAAAAACTCCCAGATTCACTCAGACTCAGCATGAGCTAATTATCTTGGCTGACTTTCAGCTTTGACCTCAGTATGACACAAAAAGCGGACTGCAGCCACCGTTTGAAAGAAAACTTACATCAAACATTTTCAAGATTCGCTGTAGCAGCAGCAACTGGCACCCTGGTATTGATGCACTGCAAAGACACACAACCTTACCAAGCATTTTGATCTAATTTCTAAATTTGATCTAAATTAGCAAATATCTTGGTACACTTAGATGAAACTAACATACAAGTAACTTTTTTATCAGAATATAGGAGCTTGTTTTGCATGAATAATTCCTTAATATTGATTATAAACAAGTTCTAGTTCCACTGGCAGATTATTTCACTTATGGAGAAAATGTCCTGTTACAGGTGAAATAATCTACCAATGGAATAAGTATTGTTTATAAATTGATATTAAGGAATTATTTACTTAAAATAAACTCCTATATCCTGCTAAAAAAGTTACTTGTTAGTTCTGTGGTATAATAAGATATTTGCACAAGAAAATTGTCCAAAAGTACTTGGTAAGATTTTTTATTTTTGCAGTGTGTCATCAAAGTTTTCAAATAAACCTTTAATTTTATTGAGTTTAACTGATGGATTAATCCTCTCACAGTTGTTCCTAAAAAATAAATCTAGCTGAAGCTGTTGTTGTAAAGTTAAAATAATTTTATATATTTTGATTGATCTGAGTGTCTTGAATCTTTTAATTAGGATGACTTTCAGTTTGCCAGAGTTATGAATATAACATGACACAGAGGGCCATTATGATTGTCTGCTTATAAAATCAGCTAATGGCGTGAATCTTTGTTGTTCATGTTGATTAAAGATATTTAATATGCACCTATTTTTAATTTTCAGAAATACTAATGAAAGCAGAGCTAATTAATTCTGTTAAACTTCATTTGAAGGATTTTTCTCAGCAGTCGGCTCACAGCTTCAGGCTCTGCAGGATGTAGAATATATATATACAGCAACACCACAGGTCAGAGGCCCCCCAAGGCCTTCACTTAGGCCCCTTTACAGGATCACTTTTCACAGGCATATAAAAATAAAGCAACAATAAATCTTTTCTTCTCCACATTCATTCACAGCAGGCTCACAGGAGATTCCTCTAAGTATTTACACATTTATGGGCGTCTTTGCAGAGCAGATTTCAAACTGAAAACTTTAACATGATGTAAGCAGAGCAGCTGTAGTCATTCCTTCATCAAGAGAAAATTTAGATTTATTTTGACAAACTAGTTTGAGGGCCATCAGCAGATTATTGGTTTTTCCGAAAAAATGATTGTCATTATGAAACAATAAATAAGAATATTGTAGTTTGAATGAGTTAGTCATAAATAAAATTTAAGTGTTAAAGGCTCAAAAAAGTGACACTAATGGAATATTTACTGGCCGTGTTTTTAGGTACGAGATCAGACTTCTGTGTGCCCAGTTAGTTCCTCTGCTTTTATTTGCTTATTTTTGTTTTAGATTGTATTTTGTGGATGTTTTACTTTGTCGCCGTGTTTCACTTCCTGTCCCGTTCAGGACATTCCCGTCAGTCCGCTGCTTAGTTTCGGACATTCGGCGACCCAGTCACAGGGAATCGCTAACAGTTTGTAAAGCCCGATTAATTTTGTGTTCTGACAGCTGCGGCGCCGTCCGACCCAATCAGATAACAAATTGGATCCGCTGTTTTGGTCTTTATGTAGACGAAAATACTTTGGAAAAACATTCTGGGCTCCACTGTAAAATAAGCGTTGTTAACCCAAAATCAATTTCCGATTTTCTCTTTGATAATGAAAAAGTCTCTGATTCACTGCGTGACTCAAATACTAGAACCAAAATCAAATGTTTCATTCAAACTCTTGAAATCTGCTCTGCAGGTGTCTCAGCCTATAAATGTTCACTCTTTTTATTATTTAATAAAACATAAACTTTTATAAGGAAGTAGTCTTCTAGTTTTACTTAAGTGACAGTTACGATACAAATGGTACAATGAGCTTTAAGTTCCCCCAATAAGTGGTTATTAAATATTTACCAAAGAGAGAATACTCTATTTAAACTGCTTGTTAAAAATGTTTTCAAGAGTAAACAGCAGAGGTAGGTTGTTCACTCAGAAGAATAAATGTAACTTTTAAACTAGAGCGGCACTGATCCGATATCAATATCTGTATCGGTCCTGATATTGGAAAAAAATCAATTATCAGTGTCAATGTGGCTGATTCATCAGGGCAGATCTATTCAGTATAATTCGATGCTCTGAGCAAAGTCATTATTTTTGATTTATTATACATCATATTTAGAGTTCCTAATTGCACTTCCTGAACCATTTAAGAAACGATCAACATAATGTTTTTGCCAGTTTCTTTACTATTTATTTTTTATATTTATTTGTTAAACTCCTAATTGCACTGACGGAACAAATTAAAGGAGTAGTGTTATGTTTTCCTGTCACATGGCACAATAAAGCCATAAAATTATGCCAAGAACTGGGACTAAGCAGGTTAGTCCCAGTTATTATAAAAATGCTGTTTATGCCAAATATGATGTAAAAGAAATGTGTCTTTGTAATTTAATGCCTTAAAATTGGGCCTCTGTCTCTTTAAAAAACTCCTGGTTTTTTTTCTTATGTTCCACCTTCAGGAAGTCATCACAACATGGCTCCTCTATTAACCCTTTAACGTTTTACCAGCGTTGCTCTGAGAAATGGCTCCTATAATGAGCTCAGCAGAGGTTTTTGCTAATTGCTGCTGGCTAGTCTGAAGGAGCTGAAAGAGAGAGAGGGCTGCTCTGTGGCTCAGTAGCCTGGAAACTTCAACTCTGAGGAGGAGCTTTGTCCTTGAAGGCGGGGCTAAGTCCAACCAGCCGTTTTACATGGCTGAATGGTTCTCATGGAGATTAAATGATTTCTCGAGCATGCATGAAACAGTCAAGGCAAAACTCCAAGTTTGTTTTTGATGAGGGACTAACATTATGACATAATATAAAGCTTGAAAATGCTGATTTTACATAACACTGCCCCTTTAAAGTTGTTGTTTTAAAATGTCTGGCCAAGCTTGTGAAGCTATTGGTGTATTTAAGTGTCATAAAATACATTTATCATTTGGTTCATTTATATCTTAAATATTATCTGTATTAGATCAGTATCAGCCGATACTAAACCTCAGATATTGATATCGGAAGTGGAAAGGAAATGTGCCGGTGCGTTCCTAATTTAAACTAGTTTTAAGTCTAAACTCAATATTACTCACCATTTAAACCCCATTCATTTTGGATGTGTTATTCTATGTAGGCACAGTATATTCCAATTTTAAACATCCTCAAATAACAGTTCAGAAAAGGCGCGTCTTCAGATGGACACGGCCGTCACGCCGCCGCTGCTGCCGGATCCCTGCTCCAGGTCCTCCATCACCAGCTCCCGCTCAGGAACGACGTGGTGGATCCGCCTGGAAGCCTTCTTGTCCAGGCTGTTCAGCGAAATGGGCTCCACGGTCGTCTGCACGTTGTTGGCCGGCAGCACCGAGTTGCCCTGCAGTCTGTGCGAGTAGCTCTTCCTGCGCTGGCCGTCCGCCGCGCACAGACTGATCTTAAACACGACCTGGAAACCCCGCCGGAAGTTCTCGTTGAAGAAGCCGTAGATGATGGGGTTGACGCTGCTGTTGAAGAAGGCCAGCCAGTGCGCGAAGGGGTAGATGTAAATGTTGATAATCCTGTATTGCTGCTCCGTCAGGCTGGCGTAGTCGCTCAGCATCATGAGGGTCCAGAGAGGCAACCAGGACAGGATGAAGAGCAGAGCGACGATCAGGAGCATTTTTATCACCCGCTGCTTCTTCTTCGACACGCTGTGGCGGTTGTCGGCGCCCGGCTTTCCTCCCGTCGGAACGGCGGTTTTGAAGAGCGTAATCCCAATCCGGGCGTACATAATCACAATGAGCGACAGGGGCGCCAGGTAGATGTTCGCAAACAGGACGGTGGTGTAGATCTTCCTCATTTCCTGGTTGGGCCAGTTCTCTCTGCACCAGTAGAAAGGACTGGTCTGGTTGTCGTAGCCCAGTAAGACGCGGACGGTGTGCTCCTTGGTCACCTGCAGCATCACACCGGACGGACACATGATGGAAATGGCCAGGACCCAGATTACCACGATGATCAGAGACGCCGTGGAAATGGTGAGCTTCTGCTTGAACGGGTAGACGATGCATCGGAACCTGCAAGAACACAGAAGGTTCTGTTTGGGTCGATTATTTGAAGCACTTTTCAGCAGCAAATTTCCAGATAAAACATTTTCCCTTGAAATAATCTGCCAGTGGTTTTTCACTTTTACCAAAAACAAACACATTTCTTTCTGAAGTGACTCATCAGTTAGTTTTGTCTTATTTCAAGTGTCTCTAGTTTCTATTTGCTCTTTAAACTTGACAGAAATTACTTGGTAAGATTTTATTTTTGCTGTGAGGGCAGTTCAAATTGCTTTACATCATAAAAGATATACAACAGGAAATAAACATTAATATCATACTAACAAGAAATAAACATTTAATTTGTCAAATGCAATCATCAAGCAAATTCACATCAATGGCCATCACTAATGATTTCTTTAGTTAATTATTCTATTAGTTAATTGATTAATTGGATAAAAACTTAGCACATTTTGCAATTTTTTTATTTTTTGCATAATATTAGAAAAACAATAGATGTGAATTAGCAAATAATTCAGTTTCTTTTTTGAATAAGAAAATGTTTTATTGGCTAAAGAGCAATAGCACAGCATTCGTTAATCTCTGTATTGTTTTTTAGATCAATAACTGAACAGTAAAAGTCTTTAATCTTTTAGTTAAGTGACCAGCTGTCAGCCTGCATTCTTCGCCACAGCATTATAAACATGGCAGCTATTAGCAGTAGCTGCTCTTCGTCTCCCTTCCTGTCTAAAGCTGCTGGTCGTCTGTCTGATGAGGTGCTTTTGAGTCGTGGCGCCACGTTTTGGAGTTAATGTGTCCTTTCCGGAGGCGCTGATGACCTTCTGGATTTCACATCATGACGGTGACATCACTGGACACCTGACCTCCGAGGAGACCGGCTCGTTTTTAAGCTTCACGGTTCTGGTCGCCTTTCCCTCCATTTTGTCCTCTGATGGAACATCGTGCGGCTTTTGGGCGGTTTATGGCGCTAGCTTCCCTTTTTTGCAACAGTTAGACAGGAAATGGGTGGATATAGTAAGGCTCCTATGGTCAAAGGTCAAACCCTTGCTGGCATTTTATAATAACCATGTTGTATTTTCTTTGTTTTTTTTAGCAAGACAAATTCCTCACTGTCCACGGACAGCAGGTGAAAAGTGGCATTTTGGTACTTCTGGCTCATTTACAGAAATGCTCATTGGTGTGCATTATCCCCCCTAAATACAAAAATAAACATTTCAAATGGAACCGTGCAAAAATACATTGTATAGCTATAGGTTATAGCTTTTAGGGCGTCCATTTTTTCCAGAAAACTTGTAATAATGAGTCACAGTTGTTCAGTCTTGTTCTCATTAAGAGAACTCTAATAAACTCGACTATTTATTACTTATTAATCTGAGGTTTGTAAAATTTTTAAAAATTGTTTTTATATTTTGGCTGCTTTTGAACATTTTGCTGTCTGGATTTTCTGGGATGTTCCCTATTGGAAAGACAGCTGTCGTTTGTGTTTGTACCAAGTGAATAACCTTTACTTAAGTTGAATAACAGGCATTAAATAGATCACAAATCACATCCCGATGCTTCACATATTGATGCGCAGCAGCTTCACCAACGTTATTACTGACATATTTTCATTTTATTTAATGAAACTAAATGTCCTGGTATATATAAACCTTATAAGTGAACCTGGGTGTATTTTCTTTTTGCCAATATCTAAGAAATCTTTTGGAGACATGCCTGCTGAAGCTTCATTATAACAATTCATATTTTTGCTAATTTTTAAAACAATTTTTAGCCAAATCTAAGATTTTTTTCCTTGCATTTGTTTGTGTGGAGGGGCGGAAGGGGATCATTTTTATTCAGTTTATTTGTCACTATGACTTGTTTTATTTTTTTGTGGATTTTACGATCAACCTCCGTTTTGTAAAAACCCATGAGTGAAAGAAATAAACCATTACCTGTCAACTGCGATGGCAACCAGTGTGAAGACGGAGGCTGAGACTGAAATCCCCTGAACCATGCCGCTCATTTTACAGACCAGGCTTCCAAATGGCCATCCTGTTGACAGAAAAATGACGTTTAGCTTGTTTACTGCAGGGAGCCTGTTCACAAAGATGACAGAAACACTCTGAAGCACGAGTTATGACTCTTAATGGGGCACTTAAGGTTGAGTGAGACGAGCATTCAGCTTTAATAGAAACTATTACCTGCTGAGGACTGAAAAATCCAAAAAGTGTTTTAGCAACGTCACGTTTGGTGGAGGTTTAATGGAGGTTTTGGTCTGTTTATACCTAAACCTGTCCTTCCCACTGCAATAAGGTTTAAAATCAAATGTAAAAATGTTCAGGTTTTACTAAAGTAAAATAAACAGTAAATGAATCGTTAAATCAAGCGAAGATTGGAAGCTTTTAATATAAATATTACAAGAAATCCTACTTTGCAGTTTCAGTATTACCCACCTGGCTGAATGTTGGCACATTCACATCAAGTGTAATCAATCAATCAATCAATCAATTAATGGCTTAGTTAAATAAAAGGATTGTAGAAACTGCTCAAATACCTCATTTGCTATTAAGAAATATGTCAAAATCAAGAGATTGGTCCAGAAATTAGAGATGACATCAGTGCCTTGTGGGTTTAAAGAGGATCTATGATGCAAAATTTACATTTGGCATATTTTTGTATTTCCATTTAGTTTCTACTACTTAAACACTCAGCTGCTTTTTTTTAAATAATTGAATGTTTTTTGCTGTCTGGAAAATGAGCCGTTTCAAAATCCTTCATAATGTAACGTCATAAATCAGTGGGATATTTTTGATTTGGACAGTTGGGCAAATTGATGCGTCAACTCATCCAAAGAGATCCTCTGCTTTTCATGCATTGACTTTAGAGTTAAGCAAAAATATTCCTGTATTTTGTTGGTCTTTAATATTCCAATTCTTCCGTGTGCAAAATTCATTTTTCACTTTCTGAACAGTTTGTGACGAAATAAAAACACTTTTAGTTATTTTTTAATTCATTAAAATGTCCCTGCAGAAAACTTCTCAACTCATCCTCAGTCACAATTCTTTTGTCATATTTTTCAGAGACTAAGTGGGTTTGTCACAATAAATAATCACACGGTAAATTAAAACAAACTCAATCATTTCCGTTTGCACGATTTATTGTTTTTAAGTTCAAACTTAATTTGTCAGTTCCAAGTTTGTGTTATGATTTTCTGTTTATCTTCTCAATAATAATAAACAAAAAGACAAAGAAATGTTGGATAACTCCTTTTCTCTGGATCTCCAGCTGATCAGAAACGCTGCAGCGAACTGAGTGGGAGCCGTTTCTGGTTTGTATTTTTGATGAAGAAAGTAAAGTAAATTATAGAATTGACTTTACTTTAATAGGATTTCCTGTGCTTAAAAGTAGCTGGAGGAAATCTTTTGTGAGTGAAAGGAGCGTTTGTTTAGTGTTTTCTTCGCTCTCGCCTCGTCTTTGGGCTTTTCGTCCTCCCCTTCCATTTCTTGTTTTTCTAAAGGAAGCTTAAGAATCTCAGAGCAACACGTTCAGCTTTGTAATCCTTTCAAAAGAGGGAACTTCAATCAGGCTTGTGCCAGAGTCCCTTTGCAACACCTACTTCTGGGCAGGCTTAGAATATGAACCATTGTGACCTGAGGTTTTACTCTTTAATAGCAGTTGTATGTAGAGAGGAACATTATTTTTCCTGCTCCAGGGTTTTAAGTATGATGACTAACGTTTCAAATCTAAACAAAATATAAAGACGGTTCACCTTCTGAACAGCAGCACAAACATTCATATCAACAGTGATAAAGCGATGATTCAGGTAAATGTCACATCTGTGTTTGTATCGCACAAAAAAAATTCAAACCTTTTTTCAGAATTTTCATTTTAATATCAAAATGTGAATTTTTCTCTCAAATTTCAACTTTTTGAGCTCAGAAATATCCTTGACTTTCCAAAAAATTTCTGAAATAAATCTCATGTCATTTTAGTACAAAATGTAACCAAGTCTACTGGACTATCAGGTATGAAAACATCCCAAGTAAAAACTAAAAAACTCACTGGTCAAGAAAAATGATACGAAATAAAGACATATTGTGATTTTTTTTTAACTTGAGCTATGAACTGAGTTTTATTGAAACAAATAAACTTCATTAGTCAAAGAATGTGCAAGTCGTAGATCCTGAAGACTCTTTTATAACAGTAAGAGTGGGTTTTTATCCAAGCTTCATGACGTAATTAAAATCAGATTTGTGGACGAAGGTCTGGTTCTGAGTAGACAGACAGATGTGGTTCATTTACCATGAACTTAAACAGAACATAAAAAATGTGGCTGTTAAAAGTCAAGTATTTTTAGTCGTATCTCATAGTAAGAGGATTTTTTTTCCACAACTGCATCTGGATCAACCATGTCTGTCACTGTTGAATTGAAATGGGTTGGACGGGATCGGTGCGGAGGTCAGAAACGGCCCCCGGCCCACAGTTTGGACACCCGGGCCTTTGACTGATGAACGTCGATCTGTTCTGACATCCAGATGAAAAACCTTCTGTTTCCAGACCTCACGGCGTCGTGCTCTTCGCCGCCCGGACGCCGCCGTGTCGAAGCGCAGCAGAGATCATGAGTCTTTGATCACAAAGCGTCCAGATGAAGAGCGGCTGGACGTCTGATGAGCTCGACCCGTTTCTGATTTACTGATTTCTTTGACTTCCTCGGTTTCTGATCTCTGTGACGTAAACAAGCCTTTTGCCTTCTGCTTGCTGAGTCCCTGATGCGCCTTTTTTTCCTCTCAATGTGCCGTCTGCTTCAACTTGACCCCTTTCTCCACACCACTGCTTTTTCTATTAGCATTTTGCTCAGATATGAAAGGAGTTTCTCTGCAGCAAATAAATGTCAAATAGACCGAGATTTCATATTACTTTTCTAGGCATCCTCTAAAACCTCTTGATATTACAGCCATATCCACCCAATCATGCACCGATCTGTCAGTAGCTTGGGGTTCAGTGCTTGAATATGAGGGCAGATTGACAGGAAGAAGCTGGAATTGAACCGTTAACCTTCGGATTGCTACTCCACCCAGTGAGCCTGTTTTTTGTTTCTTTTGTCTCATTTTTTTCTCAATTTCTTTGATTTTCTTTCATTTTTATTTAACCTCTAAATATGAGCAAATTTTAGAAATACATAAGCAAAGATGATATTTGTGACACAAATCGGCATGGGAGATATAAACATAAAGTTTAATCACAATTTTTTGTGATTCTATGGTAATAAAAGTGCAGATAAAAAATATTTATTAGCATTTTTGTAAGTAAGTGAATGAGACAGCAATCACAAAAACAAATACTGCACTTGAGAAACAAGCATTTGTAATTTAAAAGGACACCAGTCACATAAAGAGGTTTGATTTGTGTCACTAAACTGCAAAGTAGCTGCATATATTTATTATAATTTATTGGTATTTATTGATGCTCTCATTGAACAAACAGTAGAGAAAACACCAACAAAAAAACTAAATGCACAGGGTTTTTTTAAACATTAATTTTGATTCATCATGTCGATAAAACATAAACGATTAGAAATTTATCACAATAAATCATAAATGATACAATAAACGCCCACCCCTAAACATGAATGTGTGTTTTTCCCTCTCTGATGCTTATTTAATAACTCCACTTAATGATTCATTGATTACTAATCAGTTCACAAATTAATAATAAAAAAAAAGATTAACTGTTTCAGCCCTAACACATTGCTTTTTAATACAATTATCAAAAAGACATCAGTGATAATTAATCAAGCTTACTGCATTTTATGCCAGAATTAAATCACATTCACCAAAATCAGGAACTAGAGAGATCTATGTTCTTGTTGTAGGAAGATTGGTGGTAAAAAAAGACAAACAGATGAGAGGATGTGGAGGGCGAAGCTGTGAACTCGTGTCTGCAGCTTTTATTATTTCACTGCCAACAGGAGGCATAAGTTTTGTTTATTTTTTATTGTTTTACATGATGTTTGATAAATTTTACAATAAAAACACCCAAATTGTTTTTATTGTAAAAAAAACAAGACAAAAAAACACTTTGCGATAAAAGCTGCACTTTTCTGCAGATCTGCAGAATCAACAGCCAGGAAGTTCATCCGATCAAATGCGGTGAATTATTTATGAGGCGCAGATAGTGAAGCCTCCTGAGTTCTTCTGCTCCTCCTCATGAGCCTTTTGCTGCTGCTGTCACAACATTTATGGTGAAAAGTTGTTGAAATGATCTTGCTGTGAGATTGTGAACTTGGTGATAACGCCCAGAGAAAAACTGCTGACAGTGAGATTGGAGCGGAGCGCGGTTGACCTGGAGGAAGAAGGTTCTGGAGATAAATCGTGGTTATCTTGTCGCAATAAATAATTTAATCGCACAGTGAATTCAAATAACCTCAATATTTTCCATTTGTATGATTTATTGTTTTTCTCTTTTCTCTACAAAACCTGGATCATAAAAATCGTCAGTCTGTTGCTTTGAACTCAACTATTTTTTAAGGACAGTTTTGTTGACAGAGACTCCATAATTCATTTTATTAGTTGTTTGTTGTTTTGTTTATTTATTTTGGATATTTAAAATGTCAGAGTTAAATGTTCATTAAACTTTAAAGTTTATTGTGAATATGTTCTTGCACTATTATGTTTTTAAATGGCATAAATTAAAATGTATCATGTTTGTTGTCTCTGCCCCAATTAGCAGCTGCATCTTCGTTTCCATGCAGCTCTGAATTTATTACGTTGTTATGGAAAATGGATCAGAACCTGCATGTTTAAGATGCTTGCCTGGTTGAAAACTCTCCAATATAGATAATATTTTCATGATTTTTGAACTATTACAACACAGAATGTGCTGCAGAAATGCTAACTCGGGGAAAAAACGCCCAGATAATCAAACCTGCCTTTTTTATTTCTAATCCAATGTTTGGTTCTTTAAGGTGGAGAAACATGTCTAAAACTTACATCAATATTAAAGTGTTATTGACTTAAAACAATGAAAAGTTACTTGTAAGCAGTTTTGTCTAATTGTCTGTGTACTTAGTTATTTGCACTACAAACTAGATAAAAATACTTGTGATTTTTTATTTATTTTTCCAGTGTACAAATACAGATAATACATTTTATTTAAATTTGATATCATCAAACTTCTGACATGTAGGTGTTTTTATTTTCCTTTTATTTATTTTATTCATACGTAACACAGAATTTGGGCAAAGTTTGTAATGTCCACAAAAGATGTTACATAAAGCATGACAGTAACAATGAAAAACAAAATATTATAATTTAAGAGCAAATCAAAACAAAATCTGTTTGAGGTTTAGGAACAACAATGCGAGAGGGAATCTGAATCGATACCGATTTGGTATCAATATTATCAATATTGTGTCAATCTGCCACAGATTCCTGCTTATTATCATAAAACTGATCATTTCAATCAGTTTCTAAATTAATTAGCTAATATCAGCTTTGATAAGTACACATTCACCTGCCTACACCTGTCAAACTGACCTGCTGCTGTAAGTCGCCACATCTAACACGTATTTTTTGTGTCGTCTCAAAGAGAGTGAGAACGCCCAGCGGCTCCCGCAGACAACCAGCATAAAGCCTGCGAACCGCCGCCGCTGCCACAGAGGATCATGGGAGATCTGTGACTTCAACTAACAGCTGTCGGGTGAAATTAGCAGACTGCGTGAAAATCCATGGTGTTGCACTGAAGACTTTCTTCCATCACATCTGAAAAGATCAGCTCCCTGCAGGGTTCGCTTTGATCACCGCAGACCGTCAGGAACGCATCAGAGCCGCCATGTTTACGCTGATCATCTGGTCTGTTTCCTCCAGAACATCGGCTGCAGGTCAGATCACCAATCATCCTCCACACGGAAATATTTACAGCATTTTGTTTACGTACGTTTTTCAGTAGAAATATATATGGCAGCGTTTTGGGGCTGCTATAGATAGAAAAAAAAAGGAGTAAAAATTTCTGCGAAAACAAATCTCCAAAATTTTTTAGTTTAAAAAGTTGAAAATTTGCAAGAAAAAAACCTCAGAAATATTAATCTAATAAATTTTCTAGTGAAAACATTTATTTTTTTATATATCTATTTATTTTTTATGGTGCTTATTACACACCATTACTACGGTGCACAATAAGCATCTATAAATGGTATATTGTAAAAAAAAAATGCTTAAATGGTTATACATTGATCACATCACAGAAGGATCAATTTGACATCAGAGAAAAGTTGAGAAAAAAACAATGAAACAATGAAACACAAACCAAAAGGTCAACCATTTTTCCTCAAATGTTTCACTTTTTCTGCATTTTTATTCCACATTAACTTTAACGTTAAATTTCTGTGTTTCAACAGTGAAAATTTAAGAATTTCTGACTTTTGAAACTTAGAAACTTAATAATTTTTTTTGTCTAAAATATTTTTTGAGATGAATCTTAAAATTTCAGAATTTTTTAGCAGACATTTCTTTCTCCTTTTTTATTTTCTATCTAAAATATTCCTAATCCTCTGCTGTAGGAAGAATATTCTTAGTTTAACAATTCATTATTACCAAAATCACCGGCGTTATTTCTACCTCTGCACTGCAAAAACCCACAATTTACCAAGCATTTTTTGTCTAATCAGGTGTGAATAAAACTTATAATCAACTTTTCAGCAACATGTAGGAGCTCGCTTTAAAAAAATAATTCCTTAATATTAATGAAAAGGTTCTAGTTTTAATGACAGATTATTTTATTGATAACATGAGGAAAATGAAGTTAGTTTTTTCTTATTTTAAGTTTATTAAGACATTTGCACTATAGATTATACTGAAAATACTTGATTTTGTGTTTTTGCAGTGTAATAATGACCATATTCAAATGTATCTTAAGCATTATTTCTGATTTAAGTCACTGAATCTTAATTTTTGTTTTTAGGTCAGTATAAATATGAAACAAAATCTATTCCTTACCGCATTATGGAAAACCTCTGACATGTGAAAAGCATCGTCACACACATTCTCCTGGTTATGGATTACAGCGGCGAAGATTAAATTTGACATGTTTGCAGTAAAAGCAGAGGATGAATCTGACTGAGAACCGTCACATGCAGAGTCCAAAGGTTAATTAAGACGTCATTCCAGCTTAACGGCTGCTGAACACAGAATCCACCAGAGAATCTGAGATTAAATATGAAAATTAAATGTTATGATGAAAAGTGTCAGACAACAAAACATCAGATCAGATGAGGCGTTTTAACCCTCTTACGCTCTAAAGTTGTTTAAACCTGTAAAATATTTTTCCTTTGAAACCCAGAATCCTGCCAAGTTATTTTAATAAAAAAAAGAATAAACACAACCTAATCGATGGTAAAAAATTGATGCTAGCAACTCTGCAGCCCATTCCAGGCTCTGTTTCACACTCTGCTCACCTGTAATGATGTTGTCAAGAAGAGTGGTGGGCATGCAGAAAATCCCCACCAGCAGGTCGCTCACAGCGAGGTTCAGGATGAAAAGGTTCGTCACAGTCCGCATGTTTCTGCTCCTCAGCACGATGAAGCACACCACTCCGTTTCCCACCATGCACACCACGAAGATCAGCAGGTAGGACACGATGAAGATGGCGGCGGTGGACGGCTGGTGCAGGTAGTATCCAACATACGTGATGTTCCTCCTGGGAGTGACCGACTCCGCCGTGGACTTATAAAACGTCCAGTTGTCGTACAGTTGAGTGGAGTTGCTCTCTAGTCCTTCGTTCATTTTAAACCTGAAAAATTAGACAATTTTCAGTCAAGGTGACTCATTGTGCTTCCTTAAACAGGAACGGGTTACACAAAACATTTTACACACAAAATCATTCTTGATGATGATCTTTTTGTCTGCTTACTTCTGGCCTTTCTTTCACAGTGAGATGTTTGAGGGCACATGTGTCAAACTCGAGGTCTGGGGGCCAAATCTGGCCCACTGTAGCATTTTATGTGGCCCTCTAGACTCCAAATTGCATGGATAAGTCTGTCCAGTTCATCACAAATCCACAAAATCCCCACATTTTTTTCTGATTTTCCTGCAATTTTTCCTCACAATTTGGTCACGATGACACATTTTTCTGGCCGACAAATTGTCCCAAAATTTATTGTGATAAACAATAATATTTTGTTTTTGTTCTGAGACTGTTTTCAGGTCAAATAATGCAAGAACTTTAAATTTTAATAAACATTTAAGCCTGGAACTGGACACATTTTAAATATTCAAAATAAATAAAACAACAGAAACGACAAATAATACAAATTATAAAGTCTTCAAAAAAAGGAGATGGTTGATGCTTTAGTTATCCAGCTCTTGGTAGGAAAAGAAAAATTACAAACCGTGCAAATGGAAAATAATGAGCTCGCTTAATTTGTCTTGCGATTAGTTGATATATTGCTTATAGCCACTACTTACATGTGGAAATGGTTATACATCCTTAATGCTTTGAAAAGCAGAAGTGGAGCCTTCCGCACCACCAACAAAAATACAGCAAAGGGTTTCTGGATGGTAAGTCAACAACTAATCATTTGTCTTTTCCAGCAGCCATTGAACAGCAGTAAAACCAGATGACCAAACGAAGCTTTGATTGCTAAGTAACTTCCAGACACCAAAAGCTAAAACCAGTTGGATGTTTTATGTTTATTTTTGTTGTTGTTGATAGGAACAGCTGAGACCCAAATGGAAGTACAAAAACCTGCAAAATATGAATTTTGCATAACAGTCCCTTTCACAGAAAGGAAATGAGCGATTTATTTGGATTTTGTTATAGCAGCAGCTGTTTGCTTTGCTGTCTATAAACTAATAAGATTTGGTGAGATTCTCTCCCAGTTTGACCAGTTGAACAGGAAACCAAATGGAAGCAGCAGATTAGATGTCAAATTAGCCTTTAGCTACATCAATACCACAAATTTCATCTGAAGTCAAACCGTCAGCGCAGTCACGTAGTTTTGGCAAGTTTGTTTTCACATACAGCCCAGATTGCTACACATTTCTGCCTCCTCAGTGAACAGTGGAGTTAGTAACGCCGTTCGGAGTTTGACTAATTATTATGAACGTTATTTAGTGAAGAACCGTACAAAGGCACATAATTCCTCACTGCGTCAGAACTTTCCTCAAAAGTCTTCATGGTTTCCTTTGCAGAGTTGTTGGGTGTTCAGAGTTCTGCGTCCAAACATTTGAATAGAAAATTGAGTGGAAGGAAGACGTGTTGTAGGAAAAGTAAGGAAAAAAATACTTGCAAATGACTTTTCAGCAAAATATAAAACATTTAAGTTCATAATTCTTTATTATTTATGAAAAAGTAAAAGTTTGATGTAATAACTTGTAAATCTGCCAATGGAACTAGTATTTGTTTGCTTAATATCAAGGAGTTAAAGCAAGCTCTTTTGTGAAAAGTTAATTTGTAAGTACAGCGTCTTCAACTGCACTGAGACATTAGAACAAGAAACTAACCAAAATTACTTGGTACAATTTTGTGTTTTTGCAGTGTATGGAGGGGACAGTTTTATTTTCCTGCAGCTTTTGGAGCCAAAGGTGTCAGAGGAGTTTTCTTCAACCAGAAAAGTCCTTTGACCTTTAACCCCATAGGAAAACTGTTGTCAAGAGGAAGACGAGCGACACCAGATATAATAATCTTTCTGTTGTAGTGTGTGTGTGTGTGTGTGTGTGTGTGTGTGTGTGTGTGTGTGTGTGTGTGTGTGCGTGTGTGGGAGAGGGGTGGGGGCAGGAGGGTGCGTGTGTGTGTGTGTGTGTGTGTGTTTCAGTGTGTGTGTGTGCGTGTGTGTGTGTGTGTGTGTGTTTCAGTGTGTTTCAGTGTGTGTGTGTGTGTGTGTGTTTCAGTGTGTGTGTGTGTGTGTTTTTAAATCAGAGCAGATTTCTGATCCCAGCCTTCTGCCACTGAAATGGATGAGTTACATAAACGGATTACCAGCTGAAGTAAACATTTCAGAGACGGACCCAGCTCTGATGTTTGACACATTTTTCATCTCATTGTGAGTTTTTCTATTATTTTACCAAGTAAATTACTTGATTTCATAAGAAATGTAGAAACAACAAAAATCTTCTCTCTTATTCATGCAGCCATTAAAACAACTCATGCTCCTGTTATCTTAAGCAGCTGCAAACCTCAGATGTAATGATTAATGTGTGATAATTGGTATTATCTGATAACAGATCCAACATTTTCTTTTTGGGGAAAATCAGCATCATGTTTTACTGCATGTTGCTTTTAACTGGTTTGGTTTTATCAAAGTTGTTATCCTCACAGCTTCGCCGTGTTTTATTTATTTTTGGGAATATCAATCGTAGATTAGCACAACATCAGCTTATTAAGACTGACTGGTTCAGGTCCTGTCCAACAGGCTCTGGAGTTACGACACCTAGTGGCCGCCTGTTGAAACAGCAACAGAAATATTGCTCTTCTTCTGCAGCTTGTTTGCATTAATATATATTCTCTGTGAACAATAATGATGACATTTTTACAGCTCCAGACACATTTATTGGTCCCACTGGTAGAAGACATTAGGAAAAATCCATTTTTATTGCATCAGTATGATCTCACACTATGAAATATTGAAATATCCATCCGTCCTTCACTCAAGCAGATTTATGCTACAGGAAATGAATGCAACATTAAGATATTATTATTATCATTTTACAAAAACCTCATTGTACCCTTATTTATCCCTGTAAAGAGGGAATTTTTTCATTTAGTCTTCACTTCTTAAAACTGATTTCAAATTTCTAAGAACTTTTAATTAGTTCATTCTTAAATTTCTGTTTATATATTCTTAAACTGTTAATATATTTTTCTTAGTCACTCGCTGTGTTCCAATTACAAATGAGTGCAAAACTTCATCAATATTTTTGCTAATGTTCAGAAAATGCAATTTTGCAATTGCAGTTTTTCCATTAAAAGAAACGCAACTAAAATCACCCATGAATAAGTTTATGTGATAAGTTGTTACAAAAAAAACACATGCTGCACCATCATCCTCCAACCACTTCCTGTTGTTTTCTTCTTTGTGGTTTCCACCAGTGGCAACATCTGCTTGTTGATTATGTGTCTCTTGTGATGCAAAAAAATGTGTTTATAGTTTTGTGAAATAAACGAATTTCAATACAACAACAAAAAAATCCAAAATAAAATTCATCTTGGCACAAAAATTTTTGTATCGGAAAACAGGGTCTTTTTCTTAAATGCCGTGTTTTCATTAAGCAAATTTATATTTCAAATGTCACATTGTACAATTATATGTAAATGCAGCTACTGGCTGTTGGGTAAAAGGTCAAATTGAACCAGATCCAAAGTTCACTGTCATCTCCAGATCCTCAGCATTTCATCACCATCTGCAGATCATGTGTTCAGTAGTAACACAAATATCAACAAATGGAGTTTAATAAACTCAGCTTGAATTCTAACTGGAGTCGAGACTAATGTTGTTTTCACATCTTATAGTCTGGTAAGTTTGGTTTCATTAGGAACCAAAATTACAACATTTGATACATTTTCAGCAGCTGTGGTTCATTTTCACACTGCTCTGCATCAAACCAACCAAGAAAAGCAAAACTTGTTCCCCTCCTCACCTGTGGGGGCGCTGCACCAAGAACCAGAGAAGGAAACAAGACAAAAACATTTTGAGTGGACGTTGTTGTATTTACCCAGAATGCCCTACGCTGTAGGCCACTTCCTGCTTTTGGAGTGGTCTCCAGTCCACTTTGGATTCGCATTGAAACCACACCAGAGTTCCCTTTAACTAAACTCAGACCAGAGTTTCAGTTTTAGTTCACATCTGAGCTCGATTTTACGTTCACACCTCCACAAACGAACCAGACTTTCTGCACAAATGAGTGGATAAAATAGCGGTGTGTAAATGCAGCACAAGATTGAAATTTCTGGCAACAAAGAGTCAGAATTGGTCTGAGCATAAATATAAAAGTCAGTAAGAGGAGAACCAGCTAATACCCCGAAGGCACAGTAGTGGACTGGTCATACTGTGGGCTGGTTTCTCTTCTAACTGCCCTGGGAAACTTGTTAAACTACCTTAGGATAAGCTGGAGGGCTCTTCTCATGCTGGAAATCCTAATTAAAGTCAGGAATTACACCCAAAAATCTTAAATAAATAATCTTTAAATAAGTTGAGCAGGAAGTGCTGTGGTTGTGGAAGTTCAGTGTGAGAGAAAGACTTTTTTTTTTTCCTGATAAAAACTCTGGAATAAAATGGATCTTATTCCTTCATCTTTTCTCTCTGCTGCATTAAAGCCTCTCAAACTGATCTACAACCAGATATTTCCTTTTTTATCTGACTTGCATTAAACTACATTTAGTTAAAAGATTATTTTAATGATAAATGTTGCAGTGATATAAATTCCCTTTTGGGGACACGGTTCTGTTTAAAGCATTATTAATGCCGACCTTTTATGACTTGAATACCATCATGCTAATCAGAGCCGCTCAGAGTAAGTTAATAAAATAAATATTCTGAAACAGCTGGGAGACTGAAATCATTTTTGTAATTTTTTTTTGTCTGCTTCTAACACCAGACGTCCATTATACTCCAGTTCCTGTTCCTGAACCCAGTTGTGCAGATAACGTCTGCAGAAAGCAGCTTGTTCACATGTTGAGACCTCGTGCTGCTGAATCGATAAGATCACTTGTTCACACACAGATCAACAAGCAACAAGCAGCAGAGGATAAATGAAACCGAAAAGGACAGAGAGATAAACTCACAGCATCAGATACAACTGGTTTCATGCTATCTTTACTGGTATTTCAATATTCTTCTTGTTCCTCGATAAATTGTCCACAAATTGGCACCCAAAGGTGATATCAACAGCTGTCATCAGCTGGAATCTCATTAAGAGCTCAGAGCATCACTGCAGGCAGGTTAATCTGCAGGAACCTCATAAAGCAGCCAGACGCAGAGGAGCTTCATGAAACAGCAAAAAGTGTTTAGTAACAACATAACCAGGCTGCGACTCTTTATTTATTTATTCCTTTACAATCACAGGACACCGTAAATGTTTCTGCAAAATCTTCAAATGAAACAAAATATCAATCTTACTGTAACTGGCACTGTTTCATAACTGCTGCTGCAGCGTGTGAGTTGCTTTGCTTTGTCTTATTATGAACTCGCTCAAGTTTTGGCATGAAGGTTTGATTCACCTCCACTGAAGGGCGTTCATGATCAGAACCAGAGACATTTTTGGTTCACTTTGATTGTTATGACTGAATTATGAGGAAATCATTTAAATGAAACATGCATAAGAGTGGAAACTATTTCAATCACTGAATGTGATTTTGCAACAGCACCATAATGTCCTCCTGTAATCAGGCTGACCCTTCATTAGTTGGGATTCGCCCTGAACTCGGGAGAGAACCGCATGCTGTGCCAACAGTCTCTGCGCCCGGAACTGCTTTGCCGCTGCGCTTTTCATGCGCTCTCCTTTCCCTGCATGGGAACTTTGCTCCTCTAATTGCGCTCCTGTAGCGAAGCGCACCGGGGACCCAGAGGGACCTGAGGGGTCCCGGCGCGCTTCACTGATCCCCGCAACACAAAGAGGAGTCTGTCACCAAGTAATGACTGCGCACTGAGGCGGGGAGGGAAACGAGACGCAAGAAGCCGCTAATCTACTGACCTGAAACCCGCATCAAGATGTAAAGAAGTAGCTACATACATTTATTTGTGTGATCAGATCTTATTATTACATAAAATATTATAAAATTATTATTTTTTTACTCCTTATATGACGTCTTACCTGCTTTGAGTCCAGTTAAGTCGAACAACCAGAGATGCGCCTTGAGCAGCGGTAAAAAGAGTCCAGGTTCCTTTAAATCAGACATAGATTGAAGGAGCAGCTTCACCGATGAGCTCAGGAATGAAACCGCCGAGCTGCGCTCAGTCTCAGTCCAGCTTCGTGTGCGTCGCTGGCGCAGGCAGCGCGCAGAGTGAGGGCTGCGCTGCGCCGCGGCGCGCCGCGCCATCCGTCCGCCGCTGCCGCTGCGCTGACGTCTGCAGCGGAGAGGAGGGATTAGCGGGGGGCAATGGTTGAATGATATGCCCCTCTTGATCTCTTCCAGCTGGTAGAGAGTCTGATATTAAAAAGTCAAAAGAGAGAGTAGGAGGCTGCCTTAAGTGGGAGACATTCCTCAGAATATCCAATGGGATTCTAAAATTATCCATCAAAACAAAACCATGAGATGGTTTAACAGCAAAGTACTTTAACATATACTACTCCCCCAAAAAACTATTTTCCAACAAAAATGCAGGAATGAAAGTTTGACAAGAATAAAATGTGTGAAAGTGCAGAGCTCCTCCAACATGCTGCCAGCCTGAGCAGCAAAGTGGCTGCAGCAGCAACACTTACATCAACTTCTATTTAACGTTTTAGTTTCAAACTAAACAAACTGTTCAAACCCACACAAAGTTTAGACACGTTTTTGGTGGAGCTGTTGCGAGTTGCAGCATTCTGTAACTTCATAAGCAAAAATCTGATTAACTGTTTCATGGAAGTGTAGATGCTCAGAAATATGTACAGCTCATTTCAAATTATATCCTTCAGATCAGAATTACTAGAGGCATATCTTCATTAAAACTTCTGCGCAGTCAAAGTTTCCTGATCACACAAATACTTTACAATTCCCCAAAATCCTTTCATTGGGTCAAATTTAAAGAAGGTCAAGTAATTATGAAATTACCAAATCTTATAGTCAAATCAGTTGTGAGTGTGAAACAATCCAAAGTCAGCTTAACAGAAGGGGGCTGATGAAATGATTGTCTTCAAATCAGACTGACTCTTTGTGCTTCATAGCCACAGAAAAGATGCTGGTTGTCATGGATTTGCTTAAAGTGTGTTGGGGAATATAAAAGCTTCTTCCTCTGTAAAACACAGATTTATGCAGGAGTGCCTGCCTGGAGATTCTGGTGCACATTATTCAACACTTTGCAGAACCATTTTAAAAACATGACTGTGGTATGAAAGACAAGATCAACATACTGTATCCATGTTATGGTTAGAAATCTAATTAAAAATATGCAATTTCAGAGTGGAGAAAATATTTGATTGATTGGTATGTAATTAAACTTTATATTGACCTCTGCTGTGGAAGGCGCAGATTTAAGAGCCTGATAGTAATTATCTGCATCTCAATTAGAATGAAGTTTTTGACAGGCCTGCATATCTCTGGCTGGTCATTAATATATCCCATGGCAAACAACCATGAATACACACAATAAATAAAGACATAAATTATGTAATCCAGTGCAGTTTATTAAAGCGGCAGTATTATGTGTCTTCCAGCCACATGGTGCCGTTTTATAGCACAATCAAGTAATTATGTCACCTTCAGTTCTCTGAAAAACACAGCATATATATATATATATATATATATATATATATATATATATATAAAAAAAAAAAAAATCCCTTCTCACCCACCGCGGGTGGTTCTTATCCTCTGAGCTCGGGTCCTCTACCAGAGGCCTGGGAGCTTGAGGGTTCTGCGCAGTATCTTGGCTGTGCCAAGGACTGCACATTTCTGGACTGAGATGTCTGATGTTGTTCCTGGGATCTGTTGTAGCCACTGCTCCAGTTTGGGGGTTACTGCCCCGAGGGCCCCGATGACCACAGGCACCACTGTGGTCTTCACCTTCCAGGCCCTCTCCAGTTCTTCCCTGAGGCCCTGGTATTTCTCCAGTTTCTCGTGCTCCTTTTTCCTGATGTTGCAATCACTTGGTATTGCTACATCTACCACAACGGCTTTCCTCTGTTGTTTATCCACTACGACAATGTCTGGTTGGTTCGCCATTACCATTTTGTCTGTCTGGATCTGGAAGTCCCACAGGATCTTAGCTCTGGCGTTCTCCACCACCTTTGGGGTGTTTCCCACTTTGATCTCGGGGTTTCCAGTCCATATTCTGCACAGATGTTTCTGTACACTATGCCTGCCACTTGGTTATGTCGCTCCATGTACGCTTTCCCTGCCAGTATCTTGCACCCTGCTGTGATGTGCTGGACTGTCTCAGGGGCCTCCTTGCACAACCTACACCTTGGGTCTTGTCTGGTGTGGTAGATCTGGGCCTCTATTGCTCTGGTGTTTAGGGCCTGTTCCTGGGCGGCCAGGATGAGGGCCTCTGTGCTGTCCTTGAGTCCAGCTTTTTCCAGCCATTGGTAGGATTTACTGATATCAGCCACTTGGGTTATTTGCTGGTGGTACATCCCATGTAGGGGCTTGTCCTCCCATGATGGTATCTCTGGCACCTCAACCTCCGTTCCCTGTTGTCTGAGACATTCACTGAGCACATTGTCTGTTGAGGCTTTGTCCCTGATGTATTTATGGATCTTAGTTGTTTCGTCCTGGACAGTGGTTCTCACACTCACTAGTCCTCTGCCTCCGTCCTTGCGGCTCGTGTACAGTCTCATATATATATATATATATATATATATATATATATATATATATATATATGTGTGTGTGTGTGTGTGTGTGTGTGTGTGTGTGTGTGGGGGGGGGGGGGGGGTGTGTGTGTGTGTGTTTTATATCTATATTCACAGTGCCATTTCATGGCACAACATAACTTAAAGGAAAACCCACTGTGCAATTAACACCTTGAAATTGGATCTCTGCCTCCATCTTCAGGAAGTCATCACATCAATATTTCTCTATTGCAAGAGTAGCATTATGTATTTTCCAGGCACATTTTGCCATTTTATAGCACAATTAAATAACTGTTTAACCTTCAGTTGTTATGAAAATGCGATATGCATCAAATATGACTTAGAAGAAATTTGACTTTGTTGTTCTACGCCCTGAATTTGGGCCTCTGTCTATTTAAAAGATCCTGCTCTTTCTGAAACTTCAGGAAGTCATAACTTGGCTCCTCTTTTCTCTAAGAAGTTGCTCCTACAATGAGCTCAGTTGAGTTCCAGTGTTTGCTAATTGCTGCTGGCTAGTCTGAAGGAGCTGAGTGAGGGAGGGCCTGCATTCCCACATGTTTTGACAGTTAAATGGTTGCCATGGAGAATAAAGGATTCCTCAAACATCAGAAAGAATCAAAGCAACTTTCCAGGTTTGTTTTTGATGAGGGAATAACTTTATAACATGATGCAAAACAAAACAATATTTATTTTATATTATACTGTCCCCTGAAGTTTAAGGAGTAAGCCATGGTTACATTAGGTTGCTTTATACCACATAATATGCAGTGATTATTTATCACTGCATATTGTATATTCAGGTTCTTCTATTCACATCCTTTTCCTGGCTGCACAGTTTAGATCAGATTTCAGCTGTTCCAGAATTTCTATGACTTTTCATTTAGATATAAAACGGTAAATTGTTTCTTTTTCACTGGGTCTGCGAAAGGCTAAAAACAAGCAACAAGCTCTGGGAAGAGAAAGTGAATTAAGCTTTTTGCTCTTGTAAGAAAGAAGTATAAACTGTGGAAGAGAGAGCGATATTAGGCTGTTTAAAAAGATATAACTTTTTTATTGCTTGTATATTGACAGAACTAAAAGAACTCAGAATTCATAAATGTAAACCTATCTTTTCTGACATTGACGAGACAAAATATAATTCTGTTTTATATGTGAGTGGTTTCAATCTGAGTCACAACGAACCTTTTTCATTTTTATGTCAACCTTGGTTTCTTTGTGCTTTTCAAGAGAACAGGAATGGCAGTTTATTGAATGATGAGGATCAGGACGCAACAAATTTAATAATCTGCTAATGGTGTTTCTGCTTTGACCCTGTTCATTCTCACCTTGCTCTGGTATGTTAAATTTAAAATTTTAAATGAAGCAGACTTAGGATTAGTTAACATAAAGTTAAACTATTAAAGTATTAGTTTACTTTAATAGTATTTAAATTGTATTAAATAAAGTTAATGAAGTGTACTAAGTGCACTTTCATATACTTTTTTGGAACAACTTAAGTTACATTTAGTAAACTTTAAATATATTGCTTTTTATGTAATATAAATATGTTTGATTACTACATTTTGAGAGTACTATTTTTGTGATTGAATTTCATTTAAAATATATTTTGAACGTATTTTCAGTATTTTGGCATTATATATTGTATATGTTGTGATTAGAGTCTGCTACCATTACACAAGTTTGGTTAATTATAATTGCTAATGAAGTAACATTTTAGTTACTTAATGTATTTTATTATTCTGCTTTGCAACATTCACATTAATACTTCATATACACTACAGTACTGCAAACACATCAGGTACCAGAACACAGAAGGATCCATCACTACACACTTTACCGGTGAAACTAATTACATTGTGCTTTCAATATATTAACATTTTGGCAACACTTTATTTGATGGGGTGTGCAAAACACTGATATGACACTGTCATGATTATGAAGGAGTCTTTATGAATGTCTGACGGTTGTCATGAAGTGCATTTCGGTAAATAATGACACTTTTAATACAAAGTTACTTTAAAAGTTCATTAAAAGTGCCAACTTTGCATTAGAGTGTTTATTATAAAATAATGCAAAGTTAATGGACTTCTCATCCATCTTTTAAAGCAACTTATCATCATTTAAGGGGACACATACTAACAAGTGTCATTCAGTCAATAATAAAAGAGCAAAACTTATTTTATTGTTTTATCTACCCCAATCTTTCAACAACAAAAAAAACTATACTGCATTAGCTGAATGGAAGGAAAACAATGGCTCTTTTGATCCGTGGATTACGGCCCTCCCTGCAGTGGTTTTTCATGTGAGAACATATAATATCAAACTACATCTGTGTAAAGAAGACTAGACAGCTGCTGTAATGTTTATATGTTTAAAATGTATATTTAAACAGTCTGCAAGTTAAATTTTGACACTGAAAACTTGATTTCTAATCATGTTGAACATGATCTTTTTCTCTGCATGTCCCATGGAAGCTGCTTTTGAATCAAACTGTATTCTTTCTATCATTTCTGTTCGTCCAGCTCCAGTAGAAATTAAAGTTCCCATAGTAAGGAGACACAGGATGGCTTTCAGATGGCAGATTT